CAAACTGTTGGAGCTATATAAATACTATGTAATAATAATAATAATAATAATAATAATAATAATAATATGTATGTGTATGTCTGCCTCCAAAAAAAGATATAAAAAAACATTTGCTTTGCCTTACAAACTCACACTAGCCACTGTTGCTGGTGGTTCCTCATTATCAACTTCCTTACTAGTCTCTCTCTCTCTCTCTCATTTAATTGGACAGCCTTTAGCTTTGATTATGGCACATTTGCTGTGGCATCATACAGATGCAACGTCATTTATTTCCATCTAGAGTTGTATTCCTTTTTCACCAAGAGTTTTTTACCAAGTTGGAGCACTGCCTAAAGTCTTCTCCTGCACATCCCAAAGAGTTCTCAATGGGGTTACGGTCTGGACTCTGTGGTTGCCAATCCATGTGTCAAAATGATGTCTCATGCTCCCTGAACCACGCTTCCACAATTTGAATCCGATGAATCCTGGCATTGTCATCTTGGAAAATGTGCGTGCCATCAGGGAGGAAAAAAATCATTGATGGTGAACCTGGTGAAGTGTATTCAGATAGGCAGCTGACCTCATTTATGGCGACAGAAATGTTGTTGAACCTAGACCTGACCAAGTGAAGCAATCCCAGACATAACAAAACTAAATCCAGGTGGTGACTTTATTTCGCAATGCAGTATACTGTATATTCTAGTATTAAAAAAAAAACCAGAAAACAACATAACAGCCCATATACATAAAGATGCCAACATTTTTTTTAACCCTAAGTGGATAGGGAAAAAGGGAATCAGGGGAATCATTGAAAGACATGCTTAGTAAGAAAGCCTGTCTTTGTTTGGTTATATATCCCCTTTTCTTTCAACATTCATATTTACTAATATGCTTTCTGATATAATTATACAATCTTTTCGAGTATGTAAACAAAGTCTGAACGGTTAATGTTAAATCTACCAGACAAACTCTTAGAAATGTCAGCATAGTGATGTTTAATTGAAATCATATATTTCATCACAATAAAATAATCTGCATGAAATATTAAATTAATTGAAGAAAACAGATTACTGCCTGGATTTCATGTTAAGATGAGTTACCTTTTTGGAAAAACAGTGTTGTTTTCAATGTATGATGAATTCAAGAAACAGAAGACTATATCATAATATTTCCTATAGATTTCTGATAGAAACTGATATATCAGTTTCTAGTAGACATTTAAGAGTAAATATGTATCCACAAATAAACTCCTAAACTGAAGCATACAACCAAAACCATAGTTACATAGGTTGAAAAAAGACAGATCGAGTTCACCCACAAAAAAGTCCATTAAGTTCAACCAATAAAAAATGAATAAATCAAAATCCAACAGTTAACTGTACATACTACCTACTTAATAATTTGTTCCTTCTTAATAGATATGCAACTACCAGCTTTTGTCCAAGCCAGTTAGACATATGAACAAACCCCTGTCCCCCTTGTCCAGAACTTGGAGTGAAAACACTTCTGATTTACCATAAAGATAGATCTCCGATGTAGGCAAGGGCAGAGATAGGGAATATAACAAGGAAATGTATTCATAAGTCCTCTGGAATACATTTTAACAAAAAATATCACTTTGGCGTCATGTCTGCGCATTGCGTTAACACTTGCAATGCATGATCCAATCATTTCTAATGGCACCTCACAGCATCTTTCCAATACACAGCAATGCACAAAATGGAACCATGTGTGCATTGTGGTTTAAAAAGGGTCTATAATTATGCAGCTCAGGGTAGATCAGTTGACTGTCATCTCAAATCTATGATAGCTAAACCCCTTTGCTGCAGCCACTGAATGGAATATACTGTAGAAGCCAGGATTGTGCTTACATTTTTTGAGTTGCAGTTCTTTGACTTCACTAGCTTCATACTTGCTGTTGGTCAGTGACTCAAAATATTGAGGTCAAACATAACCAAGCAACTAGCAATTCCAGAAAGGAGTCAGCTATAGCTGCCTCCAGAGGCTCATTCAAGTAGCTTTCTTTTGAGTGACATTGTCATTAAATTGAAAATGAAGTATGTTGTACAATGCTTACAAGTGTTCAAAGACTTCAAAACATAATTTACGCTTACTACAATACTCACATATCAATGAAAAGCCTTGATCTAAGGCCATACCATCAGTGATTCATCTGTTCATTTCTATGAACAGCAATATGATAAGATGCCTTATCAAAAAAGCAAAGTTTCCATGTGCTCAAAAGTCCATTGAAGTACGTCAGCACAGATAAGTGAGTTGAAGTCTGCGCCAGTACGGTTTGGAAAGATAAATTAAACTGTTGATTACATTCTGAAAAATTTCCTTTGCGTACACTTGTGTAAACACCATGCTATTACTATCACAACTGTGTACATATAGAATCTTTATAAAGGTGCATGTTAAATCATCTGTGACATACTTATTTTATAAGCATGAAAGGTAACCTACAAGTGTCCGTTGGAGTTCAGGAGCATCACTGCCTTAGCAGGCTTAAGTGTATATTTTATTGTTTATGTTGTAGTAACCGAAAGACTTGATCCAAGTTACAGCTTTACTGCAGTGCAGTATTTATTCACTCGCTAACCAGTGAATGCTTAATGGTAGGTGTTTTTTTACAGAAAGGTGCACTCTAGAAACTCTACAAATGTGGATGTTTATTAAAAATTTACAAATTATGAGGTGATTGTCTTTCAAATTAGGCCCAGCCAATTAATGTTGAATGCACCCCTGCAGCCAATCATTACTTATTTGAATGCTGAATAGGTAGAATGGAAAGTCGAGCTGCAACATGACCATCCATGTCTTTCTAGTCAATAAACAACCTTTTCTCGTGTCCTGGCATGAACTGAAAGTCTGATTTATGAATGATCCATCCAACATCCAAGAAAAAAAAACCAACAGGTTCAATGACCTGTACCCTACGTTATGATTCAATATGTCAGAATCCCAAACTGCCTTAAAAGGGCATTATGTCAGCATGTAAGATTATTCTCAGAATCAATAAATCAATTAATATATCAGAACACAGAATTGCTAAAATATATAATTATATTTGAATGTCAAAAAATATAACCGGCCAGAAAGTAAGACCTTGCCACCATGGTTAGCAGTTTACTTTTAGTCAGAACCTACCTCTGCTTACACACAGTGAAGCTGTCATTCGTGGTATTCGTGGACCACGGAAGTATGTACTTTCATCACAATATCTGGTGCTGTTTTTTATTCTCATTGTGAGGAATACATTGAAATACACTGCATTTTTGAAAGTCCCTGCAAATAACACCTCACTTCCATAATCCTCAGATTTGTGTGTGTTTTTCAATCAGATCAGAAAATTGTAGGTTGATCTGCTAAAAGGTAAACAATAAAAGTGAGTAAGACGCTCTTAAAAATGACGTCTTTGGTGTGGTCTTGGGCTTCTATGTCAAATGCCTTTGTGTATATTTTGCGTGTGTGTAAAAGCAAAGCATTTTTGGGTTGTATAATGAATATACAGGTGAAACTCGAATAATTAGAATATCGTGCAAAGTTCATTTATTTCACTAATGCAACTTAAAAGGTGAAACTAATATATGAGATAGACTCATTACATGCAAAGCAAGATAATTCAAGCCGTGATTTGTCATAATTGTGATGATTATGGCTTACAACTCATGAAACCCCCAAGCAGAGGCGGCTCTTTAATTAGGCAAATTAGGCGGTCGAAGCATGCATATGTACTCAGTACTTGGTTTGGGCCCCTTCTGCAGCACTTACTGCAATTACTTTTGCATGATATTCTAATTATTCGAGTTTCACCTGTATGTACTTAAAATAAAATAATCACAGTATTGTAAGACTATGAAAATACATTACAAAAATGATGCTGCCAACACACATGTCTATTTCAAAACATGTCCCTTGTGAAGAAAGCTATACTCACTCAATGTTTGATTGGCATTGTTCTTTAAAGAGACAATGTCACCAAGACTGTTCTCACAAAAATAAAATGTTTACAATTAGCAATTACTGATGCTGCCCTTGCATAGCAATTCATTATGCTTTTTGTCAGTACAACAATAAGTGCTAGTTTCAACTATTGTCTGTATGTAAGCAGCCTAAAATTGGTCCCTGATGGCAGTGTCTGTTTAAAAAAAATATCACTATATTCCAGGGTTTGGTCAGAAGTAAAAAAAAAAAACTGTACATCATTAATGGAATTGGAGTCAGCCTCTGTTCCGCTGTAAATGATTGCTTACATACAATTAGATATCTCATGCTCTGTCAAAGTGTGGGAACTTGTTATGTATACACAGTAGTTGCATGAAAACCCTTTATTCTAATAAAACAATTAATGCTCTATAGCGTTGCAAGGAAAAACTTGCTGCCACTTAAAATTAGAAGTGCATCATTCTTCTAAAAATGAGAAAATCCCTTTTAAGTAAAGATAAAACCACAGAGGTAGAACTTATAATTTTTTTTGTGATAAAACACAAAGTTTAAAGACTATATCAAATAAAATAAAAACTTCCCTTGCTGTGGATCTACCCCCGCACTGCAAGGGTTAACTGCTCATTTTTGTCTGGGGGTATTGTGTAAAGGACTTATACTTACCTGGTCCCTGCTCCTGCGGGCTCCAAGACTTGCACCTGCAGCCTCTTCCCTCCTCTGCTCTGGCGGCTGGAGGCCCGTTGGCATAATCACGTCTAATATAGGGCCCACATCCCTGCATCATATGTAAAGATACCAAGAGACAGTCCAAAAGTCCCGTGAAGGGAAGACAAGATGAACGCTGACTGCCAGGGAAGCACGGATCAGGTGAGTAAAAGCCCTTCAGACAATATTGCTATATATAAACGAGCAGGAAAAAAAACACTTTAGGTAGGGATACCCCTTCACTGCAAAGGTAGTTTTCCCATTATATGAACATTAGATAAACATTAAAGCTAGTAAAAAAGTTAATGTTTTTTTAATGTGGCACATACATGCAGGTTTTCCCTTATCTTTCAAGAGGAACTTACCACTAGAAACAGAGTTTCCATTCTCACATGGTACACAGGTAGATAAAGTGCTTAATGTCTGATTATCTTGATTATTTGCATTGGTATCTTGAGTATCTGGCATTGCAGTATCTTCCCCAGTGCTCGTGTTCAGATTCAGCTCAACACCTTGGAAATTAGAACAGGTTGGTGAATGAGTGTACTGTACTAGCAGGCTGTCTTTCAATACATGGCATATCTATCACAATTTTACAGTTTATGAACACCAGATGACAGATATTTGGCTTTTGCCTAGTTTTTTCCATAGTATTTTGGAACTGAAATTAAATAAAGTTATAGATTTAATTTATAACAGAAAACGTAAATGCCCTCATTCCCGTCCTACAAAACTACTAAGGAATGAAAAACATCTGAGTCTACAGCGTGATTAAAGTTACTGTTTTTAAAATATATTATTGCTGATCATCAAATTATGTAACATATTTCATAACATTTCAATTTGTTTTTTTTTTAGCTTTTACTTATCCTTTATTAACCTACTCAGAGTTTGATTACTAACAGATGCAATAGTCATATATTTTCCTACATGTGACTGTATATGAAATCGGCTTCTAAAAAACAACACTGACGTAATATTACATCATAGATCATATACTTTACTATTTTTTCCATATGTTATTGCTTTCACTGTCTCTAATGCTTCTTCTCAACCCTTTTTAATAATCCTAATAAATTTTGCTATGCACTATGTATTTTCATGTCTCTCATGACAATATATTGTTGTCACTAAAAGAAAAAAATGAGACTTAAACAATGTGCTGGTACCTCACAGAAAATTGTTATAAAGTTAATTGGTAGTGGAGTGAAATATGTGTGTGATAGCAGCAGCCTCCCAAACCCTCTTGTCACAGTCATATGCCAGCGCAAAGCACCAGCACTACCTGGGAATACTCTAAGCCCCACCCACCCACACATTCCTGTTGGCTCATCACTATGAAGGGCAGCATCACTGGCCAATAGGAAGAGACAGGCAAGCTTAGGCATTTTTAGGAAATGCTAAAGCTTTCCCTGTCAGAAAGGCCCAGGCTTCAGCTATAATGGGATAGTTTTGGAGGCTGCTGGAGTTATGTGCCGATATCTCTAGGTTCCTGTGTTTCCTATCTGTAGCAGTGTTTCTTTTTATTTTCATGACAGATTAAGTTTAACATAAATATTGGCACTGCAAAACATTTCAATAACATACAATGTGATGGAATTTTAACTTAGAAAATAGGTTCAGTGAGAGGCCTTGCTTCATGCTATATGTTCATCTAGAGAAAGTGAATAGGCGATATAATGACAATTTCCTGCAAAGTATTTCCAGGATTCCTGGAAGAGATCCCCCAAGATGTAATTATTGAATTTACAAGTCAAGTATGAACTTAACTCTACAAATAATTTCTTCTAAGAGGGTGAATGTAGGATATTCATTGCCAAGTTATGTCTTCATAGGAAGCTGTCATCAGGCTAATTAGAAGTTGTCATGCTCGAAGCCAAATGCAATGTATTTGAGAAAACTGGATTCCAAATGTGGAAGCTGGATTGGATTAGTGACAGTATACCGTATGTACTCGAGTATAAGCCGAGATTTTCAGCCCATTTTTTTGGGTGAAAAGTGCCCCCCTCGGCTTATACTCGAGTCAGCGCCAGCGCGTCTTCTTACTTACCTCGCCGAGCGTCGCGTCACTGCTGCTCGGTGTGCGGCGCTCCGAGCGGGGTCATCTGGCAGTCTCCGGGTCCTAATTTAGGTGGCCGGAGACTGCCAGATGACCCCGCTCGGAGCGCCGCACACCGCAGCAGCAGCGACGCTCGGCGAGGTAAGTAAGAAGAAGAAAAACCCCCCCGCAGCGGCCAGTCAGGCAGGGGAGCAGGGATGAGTCAGCGGCGCGCTGATCAGGCGAGAGGAGCTCCAGGTGGGGTTGTAATTATCGGGCAGGCACCTCTGAGCCAGCTAAATTAGGACCCCACCTGGAGCTCCTCTCGTCTGATCAGCGCGCCGCTGACTCGTCCCTGCTCTCTCCGTGATGTGATGATCCGATCACCGGCACACAGTGAGTGAGGGGAGGGGGGGGGGGTAGAGAGAGAGATTAATTAAGCAATTATATATGTATTGTCTGCACTGTATTAGCAGTATATACTCTATATAGAGTATATACTGCTAATACAGTGCAGACAATACATTTACAATTATACTAACATGAATGTATTAAATGATCTGTATGTAGCCCTGTACTATGGATCATTTAACCCATTCATGTTAGCAGAGGATCATTGTAAATGTATTGTTGCAGGCACTCTATATGTACATGTACTATATACTACATATAGAGTGCACTGAACAATAGATTTACAATTATCCTCTGCTAATATGAATGGGTTAAATGATCCGTAGTACATGATATGTAGCCCTGTACCCCCTTTTCCACTTACAGAGCTAGGTTATTTTTCTTTTAAATAAATATTAATGTATTTTAATGGTATCTATCTACCATTAGCTGCCTCATTTCCCACCCTCGGCTTATATTCGGGTCAATACTTTTTCCCAGTTTTTTTGGCTAAAATTAGGTACCTCGGCTTATATTCGGGACGGCTTATACTCGAGTATATACGGTAACAATACCTACTGTAAAAACAATCAATCTGACACTAGAAAGGGATGTATAAGACTCATTGCCACATATCTTTTGGTTTCTTGGAGCCTCCTCATTCTACAACAGCATTCTACAACAGCAGAGTAAAAACATTTTTGCCAAAGACTAAAATTAACCATTTCATGCTGCACTGTCAGAAAACAATGAATTATAATGGACTTAAAGCAGAACTCCAGGCATACATAAAATAAATATCAATATTTGTTTAACTAATAATTAGGAATGCAGCGATACCGTTTTTTGGTATCGAGTACTGATATTTATATTCTGTACTTACCAATACCAAATACCGATACTAGAAGTCCCATTAAGGAAGCCAGGCGGCAAGTTATGACCCGCCGCCCGGCTTTCTGATTAGCCGGTAAGCTAGTTCCATGCTCCCTCATCACCAGGTGACATAGAAGCATGGAGCCGTCTTTCTAGCCATTCATGAAGCCAGGGGGCGGGTAATGACTTGCCGCCTGGCTTCCTGATTGGCCAGCTTCCCGACTAATCAGGAAGCTGGGCGGCAAGTCATTACATGCCACCCGGCTCCCTGATTGGCTAGAAAGCCGTCTCCATGCTCCCTCATCACCAAGGCATGAGGGATGATGAGGGAGCATGGAGACGGCTTCCCGTCCAGTCAGGAAGCCAAGGGGCGAGTCATTACCTGCCCCCGGCTTCCTGATTGATGTAATGATTTGCCGCCAGGCTTCCTGATACTGGAACTTCCAGTATTGGGATAAGTAATGGGAGCATTTGTGCAAGTACTCGCCCAAATACTCGGTATCGGCACCGCTGGCTATCAAAATATCTGAACAATCTGATTAGATGCAGGTATTTTGAGAGCAAGTGGGGCCGACTAGCAAGATACTGAAGCTTGGCCCAGTGGGAGAGTCCTCCACCCCCACCCACAGTCTATTTTTTTGTAAATCAATCCCCTAGTATGCAGGTGGGAATCACAGACCAGATATATACTGATTAAGAGTCAGCTTTTTTGTTCATGGTATTGTTCTTTCCCCTCTTGCAGTGGTGCAAGTGTTATACAAAAAGCATCCTAAAGGCAGCTTGACATCTTTCTATTCTAAAACAATTCTGTTTTACATTCTGCACTGGATGATAGCAAAAGAATGAGGGTATTGGAGTATATAAAGTGCTCTGAAGTAAAATGGCTCACTGGTGTCATTGAGGAAAGAGGGGGTAGCTGGAAGGCAACATTTTATGCGTATTTACAAAAACTGCAAGCATCTTAGACATTCCACAGTGACTTTTTCTCTTAAGAAGTAATATTTTAACACAAAGCTGGCTGGTCCATGACCTTCTTAGACTAACAGAGTTATTCACAAACCTGCTAAAGGCAGCTGAGTGAATAACGGAGCCCAATTGAACAGAGCCGAACAACGTTCGGCTATTCACTCCGGTTCAGTACGGCTCATTTTTGGCTTGGCTATTCTGCTCAGTACCTCCGTGGCACCAAGAAGAACAGCAAATAGTGAAAAGAGTGAAAAAAAAGGTAAATAAATTGTTTTAAAAATGACCCAAAATAGGAAAATTAAGAATAAAAGAAAAATATTTTTAACTGCCTCTGGGCCGGCCGTAGTAGAAAAACGTCCGGCCGGGAGCTCTCTAGATCTGAGCGGGCGTCTTTAGACGTCCGCTCAGAGTAAGTTTTTTAAATTTGTAAAATTTGTAAAATTGTAAATTTAAAGTTACACATAAGGAATAAAAAAAACAAAAAAATGTTTTAAAGTCCCCACCCATACATACACGCATGCAAACATGCGTCGGGGGCGCATACGTGCAAAAAAGACGATTGCGCCCATTACGCTGCACATGTTACATGTCGCCGCGAACGTCGGAGTGAGAGCAATAAGTCTAGGGCCATCAATCATTGATAACACTAAACTGATGAGCGGTAAAAGCTTTTAAAGTGTCGCCTATGGCCAATTTTGGGTATGGTAGTTTTCTGCGATTTCACGGGTGCACGCAATTTTAAAGCTTGACATGTTTGGTGTCTATTTACCTGACGTGACCCTGACTTTTATATTTTACCAAAAAACTGGGTAATAAAAAATGTTTCCTAACATAATGTAAAAAAAACTTTTTTTTTTTCAAAATTTTCTGTAATTTTTCCTAATTATAATAAAAAATAAAAACCCCAGTGGTGTTTAAATACCACCAAAATAAAGGTCTATCTGTCCCCAAAAAATGGTATAAAATTAATTTCAGTACAGCGTTGCATTATGGTATAAACGTCAGTCAAAGTACTGCAGCACTGAACACTGAAAAATGGCCTGGCCAGGAAGGGGGTCTAAACACCTGGTCTTGAAGTGGTTAATAAAAGAAAAGTAAAACAATTGGGCAGAGCTAGCAGTGACAGCTAGCTCCGTCCATCTGTTTCTTATTGGCCGCCACCTGCTAAAGTCTTCTAGCAGGTCCCAGTCAATGAATGTCACGTGACGTCACGGCCGGCTCCGCCCTGTTGTTAATGTTTAATGA